CATCTAAAATAAGAAGATAAGAAGGAAGTGACCAACTATTATGGTTCAATTCAATCAAGAATCTAAAGGTAAGGGTAATCAAAGCAACAAGAACATCAATAAAAGATCGAACAAGATGCCTCCTAGATACACGAGTAATACACAAAGTTATCATCTTCTATTATATTATCAACTCTCTAGCCATGGTGGTAACTTCAACCCAAACAACTCAAGAAATAACTTCAACTATAATTATCAACAGTTTTGATATCCCAATTATAACAATAATTAAAAATTCATTTGTCACAACTATAACAAAATTAAACACATAATAAAAGTTTATCGATCTCGACCCAAGTCTCCTACTATACCCAATTGACCTCAAGTAAATATCATAACTACTTCGATTGCTTATCCAAGCAATTGAATTGTTGACTCTAGTACTTCTCATTATATTACTTCTGATTTATAGAATTTATACATCTACACCAATTATGGAGATAATGGAGACATCATTATTGATGATGACAATAGAATCCCTATCACTCACATTGATATCAATACTTAATTCATACATAAACACTTTTACACTTGATGATGTTTTATATACATATCACATCAAAAGAAATCTTATTTATGTCTCTCAATTCTGTAAATAAAATAACACATCTATTTAATTTTTTCCTGACTTATTTTTTATAAAAGATCTAAGTATGGGGGCATCCTTAGTCCAAGATCAAAATAAAGATAACATATACAAGTGATTGTTGGCTTCACAAATCACTCAACCAATCACTCTTATTTCAATTATTGCTCTAATCAATGTGTAGCATCATCGACTTAGGTCATATGTTATCTTCCATTCAATAATAACTAATTTCCTGTTGCTCTTTTTTAACTTCCAAATTAAGTAAAATTATAACTCATTATGATACTTGCTTTAGTAATTAAAATCATAGGTTATTTTTTGGAATGTCTTCCATGCACTAAACCATTTGAAATCATTTACAATAATGTTTGAGCCTTGTCCCAATCATTTCCTTTGATAATTTTTTATTTTATATTATTTTATGGATTATTTTACTAAATATATATAGTTATATTCTCTTAAATATAAATATGAAGTCATGTTTTACTCATCTTATAAAGATGGTTGAGAACTTGTTCCAATCTACTATTAAAATAATTTACTATAATTAAGGAGGTGAATATAAAGCTTTAATAACTTACCTCTCATTATGTGGCATATAATATCTCAAGTCATCACCACACATGCCTCAATTAGTTGACTCTATCGAATAAAAGCATCGACACATAGTTGAAACTAGTCTCACCCTCTTATACTAAGCCTCCATGACATTAGCCATTTAGTCAATCACCTTTCAAACTAGCAATCTACCTCATTAATCATATGCTCACCTCAATTATATAACACCAGTCATCATTTGAAAAACTATTTCACAGTACCTAAAATCTTTAAAAATTTAGTATTTAATTGTTTATGTTATTCCCGGCTATGCCACCATGTTTTACGCAAGTTAACATTAAGATCCAAGCCTTACATCTTCATTAGGTATTTTCTTGAATATTATGTTTTTTGGTACTATGATCCTTAAACTCAAAAGGTCTTTATATCACATCATGTTATTTTTTTAGAATTTATCTTTCCTTTCAAAATCTTGCTTATTTAGTAATATGAGCCACTACAACAACCATTCATCACTGGTTTTATATGAGTACACCTCAAGCACCCTCAAGAACCCCTCTCACTACATCAATTAGTAGTTCTTTTTTAGATTTGTACTCTCTTATTACTTTAGTTCAATAATGCTTTACCCTCTTTGTAGCTTCTCTATCTACCTATCTACTAATTTACTTATGATACTCGATGAAGCAACGCCCCCATCACTACAAATGATGTCTTTGTTCTCTCCTCGACCAAGTGACACCAAAGTGCATTAGCTTGATCAAGTACGTGTCATTAACACTTCACTAATTCTTATACCTTTAACATAACTCAATAATACCATCGAGCCTAGATATCACATGATAACATGCTTCAAAAATGATAACTTCAATCCATGTCAAATCCTTGACCTCTATGCTACCATAATCTCTTCACCTAAGCCTACTGAACTCACAACTATCACTTAAGCCCAAAAATCTCTATGCTAGTATAAAACCATATGTAAGGAATATGATGCCCTACTCTATAATGCCACATGGACCCTTGTACCATCTCACATTATATAAAATATCATTAGATATAAATGGACCTTTCAAATTAAGCGAAATTTAGGTGAATTCATTGCTAGATACAAAACATATCCAGTAGCCAAAGAGTTTCACTAAGGATCAGATTTTGATTTCATAGAGACATTAAGTCCAATTGTTAAATTGATAATTCAATTCATCCTTAGTTTAGTTGTCACTTAAAATTGACATATATGAGAACTAGATATTTACAATGCTTTCTTACGAGGGACCTTAATTGAATATGTCTTTATGTAGTAACCCCATAGCTTTATCCACCCTCAGTATCCAAACCATGTTTGTAAACTATGAAAAGCTATTTATAGACTTCGCTAAACTCATAGCTTTATCCACCCTCAGTATCCAAACCATGTTTGTAAACTATGAAAAGCTATTTATAGACTTCGCTAAACTCTAAGTGCTTGGTATATCGAACTTGACTCATTTTTTATGTTAACCAACTTCGTCAACTCCAAATTTGATATCTCTTTATTTCTATTGAAACAAAACTGGTGTACTATATGTCTACTAGTTTATGTGGATAACATTATTATCATAGAAAATAATTTCATAAAGATCAAGTAATTTTTAAGTAATTGATAAATTAATTCTCCATCAAAGACCTAGGAACCTTAAGCTATTTTTTGAGAGTAGAAGTAACATCTACATCTTTTGAACATTTTTTTTATCTCAAAAGAAATATATTTGAGATCTATTATCAAAGACGAATATGTAGGATGTCAAAGAAGTCACCACCCCACTCTTCACTATTGAGTCATTTAGATTATATGATGACAGCCTTACTACGAATCTCATATGGTACCAATAAGTACTCAGTTACTTGTAGTATTTATCTCTCGTATGTTCAGATATTTTATTTATAGTCAATAAATTATTATAATTTATGCATCGACTTTTTACTATGCATTGATCTACACTAAAATATGTCCAATGATATCTTAAAGATACTTTCAATCATGCACTTATTCTTTGTAAACACTCATCACTTTATCTCTATGCTTTCGTTGATGTTGATTAGGTCGACAATACCGATAATAGAACATCTATGTCAACTTATATTGTTTTCCTTAGAACAAATCTGATTAGTTGAAGGTCTAAGAAATAGAACACAATCGAAAGATCCATGACTAAAGCTGAATATTGAACCATTACCATCATCGTCGTAAAACTTAATTGGATTACCAATCTACTGCATGAACTTGACATCACCTCTTAATCTAGTTCTACAATATATTATGATAATGTTAGTGCCACTTTCCTATATGCAAACCTAGTGTCCCATTCAGTATATTGCGATCGACTTTCATTTTATTAAGTATCAAATTGTCAAGCGTTAATTACGTGTTTCTCATATTTATATTTCTGATCAACTAGCAGACTCCATTATGAAATCTCTCATTCGTATGATATTTTAGTTGCATCAATCTAATATTAATATCATTGATGGAAGTTCAATCTTACGAGACATGATAGAACATGATGATAGAAGCAAATATAAAATGATAATTTTATATTTCTTATATACTCTAATCCTCGATCAATCTATGATTGAGGATTAATTACTAATTTAAATATATAAGTGTACTGTTGAGAAAAATCTTTCTATCAAAATATGTATAAATAGTATATTATCCCTTTCACAACAAATTCTTTAATTCTTTACGATCATATTATTTTATTATTATTATTACTATTGTTATTATTTTTCTCATGTTAAATATACTTCAAATGATGATGATGATGAAATAAAAACTCGTGGATGTCCAAAATTGTTCTCGAGTCCAACTCCTGGAATTTGACCCTTGCAGGTTTGGGCATTATCAGTAATAAAATAAGATTCAGAATATGAATTTTCATCGAAATAAATTTTGCTGCACCGAGAAAAGAACACGCGTGCACATGAATTTTCTAATAAAACATGCATGGATTGTGGAAGATGTATCTGCACTCAGTCTTTAATAACTTTCTTTGTTAGAATAGTTCACTGCACCACAAGTCAACTCATGGTCGAGATGAGTGGCGGACTCTTCCAATGAATGCGAGACAGAAAAAGAAAGGAAGAGAAAGTTGGTGTGGGTTTCTACATCACTCCTGTCGTCGTGTGGTCATCATTTTAGGTGGCCAGAAAAGTTGCAACCACTAGATAATTATTATACACAATTGACATCAAGAATAAGCTTTGACTAGTTTCAATGCGCCGAATCTCGGCGATCCTCATCTCGATTGTCGCAAATTTGCTATTATAACGAGACTTTTTATGAGTAATAAATAGATAAGGGACCATACAGTTTACCCAGATACATTGCATGAAATGATTACGTTACATATATAGAAAGTGCAAAGATAAATGAATTATTTATTAAAATATATGTCCATGCATGCTAAGCCGGTTCGCTCGAGCCGCGTTCGCTTCAGAGTGAGGACTCGAGTTCGGCTCTTTCTACTGTAGCAAAAGATGGGAACGGCGGACGGGAAAAGATGTTGGGTCCACAGGCCACTCGATTCAAGCATGAAACAGACAGCTCTGATGAATCTTCCCTTATCCCCTGTGGGCCCCCACACCCACACACGCTCTTCCTGTCGGCTGCTCCCGCATCCATGTATCCGGTCCTCTCACGGATCACATGATCATCATCATTTCCTTCACCGGCTGTATCAACGGCCTCACCTCGTATCACGTCCCGCCGCGGACAAATTAATGATAAAAGGAAAATAAAAACGATTATACCTCCTATCACAACGAAAGCCGACGCGATTATAAGGGCAGGGAGCGGTCGCTGCCGTGCCATTTTGTTTCTTTTTGGTTTTCCCCTTTTCGTAACCATCCTTCATTTACGAAATACACTACTTCTACTTTCTTCTCATCTTCTCGCTTCTCCTGCTCTCTATGCATATTGGTCGTCAGCGATGGTGACTGCGGCGGAATCGTGGGGTTTGTTACACGGATCGCTACAGTTGTTGTAGAGCGCGTCTTGAGCGGTTCCCCGAATCACTCCCGATTTCGGGATTTTTTTTTTGTTTTTTTGCCGAAAGCACCAACAGTGGTAGAATATCATCCCGGGCATATTCATCAATTCTACGTGAAGGAAAATGAGTGAGTGAGTAGAAGTAGCAGAGGTGTTCGGGGCAATGGCGCAGGATCGAGAGCAGAAGATCAAGATTGGCGTCTGTGTCATGGAAAAGAAGGTGAAGGGCTCTTATAATTTTCTTCTTTCGTTTGTTCTGTGTTCTGACTGTAAGCGAAATTGTTCCTGTCTGAATATACGTCGGAGATTTATTTTTCTTCCTACTTGTGGTAAACATTGTGATTGCCGATCGGTAGGCAACCTCTTCTCCGATGCGCCGGATTCTGGAAAGGCTAGAGGCTTTTGGTGAATTTGAGGTACTTCTGTAACTAATGTCATTACCTTTTTGAGTTCTTTTCTTTAAATACTATATAACGAAGTCGTAGTTGTATGCTGTTTTGCTACACAAATTGTGACGCCGGTATATACTGGAGCGATCAGTTTTTATAACTTTGGTTGAAAACAAATATTTGATTCTAGCACACCTGTACATCAGTTTCAAATCTTCCGAGTCCTATTCTTTCTTAGATCTGGCCTCTGCCTTGTCTTGCTTTAGAAGCTTGGTTTGAAAATGTATAAAATGCGAATGTATTTTATTTCTGTGTGCTAATACTATTAAATTTGCATGTTGATTTTCTTTTAAGCATTATCTAGAGTTGTTTTTAATCTTATCCTGTGTTATCTTGGTGCAGATTATAATCTTCGGTGACAAGGTTATTGTAGAGGATCCTATAGAGAGGTATGTCACTGTCAGCTAAAAATTGTATTTTACTAGTGGGTGGCAAGTTATCGATCTGCACTCCATTAGTGCACAAACGGTTCTCTATTTTTTCTTCTTTTTAAGTATCACATGGGTTCATTATTTTAGCTAATATTCTACTCGTGGATTCATTGTTTCAGCTGGCCAATTTGTGACTGCTTGATTGCCTTCTACTCCTCTGGTTATCCATTACAAAAGGTCAAGGCTTATGTGGCATTACGGAAGTGAGATTCTTTCACTTGGAATGATCAGATTTATGAACATCTTGTGAATGAAACAAAAGTCCAATATTTTCCATTCTTTTTTACACCTTACATGTTATACATTTAGCAGAACATAGTGACTGTTGATTTCTTTTATTCAGTATATTTGCCACTATGTATTATCTTCATATATCTGTGTCATTTTCTAGAAATTGTCAAACTAATAGAATATTGCAATTTATTGTACACAATAAAGTGCTCCTTAGTTTTTCAGCTGTATGTACTGTATCCTCCTGTATATCCTTAAAATGCTCCAGAAGCAACTGTATATAAGCAGGTATATCCGTAAAATGCTCCAGAAGCCACCAGTGTATCGAGTGTTGGTATGCCGTTGTGTACCAAGCTTTGAAAAAAGTATTAAAAGATTGGGAAAATAAAAATTTGCCCGGTATAGAACTTGAACCGTCCTATACTGGGTGGTACTGGTCCTATATCAGGAGTATTAGGCAGTACAGGTTTGGTATCAGGTGTGTCACTTGGGTTACCGTGATATGTGTACCGGGAACTTGTTGGACATGTAAATGCTACCCGTATCAAACCATAAGGGGTGTTGTTGCAAAATACTAATTTATGCATAATTGTTTTGCTATTGAAATTGCCTTTATGGTGAAAGAATCATTTAGTTTGTAATTAGGTCTTGTACTCTCAACTTCTTGTCAAATTTTGGATTTTTTTTGCATTAATTTTAGTATAAGAGGTTTTCTCTCCATGTTATTATGAGTATATGGGTAGGTGTGAGTTGTAAAACAACATTACATGTAATGGACCCATACCAATTTATGATCAAACCAGTGTGGATCTAGTCCATGCCGATGTACTGACACATGATATGCCAACATTTATAGGAGTACTGCAGTGTAGCAAGTGACTCCCGAGGAGTCATGCGTCTGCAACACATGAGAGAGCTCAGAAATTGTAAGTGCATAGGATTGAAAATAATATACTAGACCACTCAATAAGAGGTGGTACATGTCCTAGTTTGTGCCCTGATTGGTAAATATCGATTGGAACAAAATAATTAGATTGTTATCCAACTCGATTTGATTGATGACACTAGATTCAGTATGAGTCTAGCTCATTACTAGGCCTCTCTAGCTCATTACTATGCCTCTACTGCATGAACAATGTATGTTCGTCTTTTTTCCTTGGAGGTAAATGCTGGTTGTTATGGATTGGTCCAAACAAAATTGAGTTCAATGGTTTGGATCAAGTTTGATTATCGAATAGAGTTATACCGAAACTTGGTCGAGGTTTATTAATGCTGTCATGAAAAGAGAATGGAAACCAATGAAAGTCATTATTACTTTTGGTTCACAAACTGAGTGACTATTGTCTAGCATGTAGTTAGTTCAGCATTATCTTCCCCCATTTTCCTTGGCGGTACTTAAGGAGCAGAAGACAGATTAGGTATATGGTTGTTTTCAAGGAATAATAGGCCTGTAAGACCCAATTTGGTGTTGCATTGACTATTGCATAAGATGCTTTAGAATCTTGAGTATGAAAACCAATGAGAATTACAATTTGGTAAATTGACCTTTCTTACAAATTTACATCATTTATTAAGGAGTCAGGTATTCATATTTGTGCTGCTGTAAATAGTATTTTTGTCTACTTATCATGCTTTAAACTTCAATAGAATACTGAATAGATTGCTTTAGGTCTCCCAAGAGCAGTACAAAAACTTCTCTCTCGAGCTTTTGCACCTTAGACTCGTGTTTTTGTTTTATTTCACTATCTGAGGTCTTTTTTTTTGGTACATAAGACTCATTTTGGTATTCTACTATATTTTTGCTTCTTAGGCCCTTTCTGGTCAATGAATTGGAACCACAACACCTATTGCATGACCGGACGAAGGTTTATGAGGTACTTTCTCAAAATGTGATCCAATATCTATATATTGTCTTATGGAAATACTTTTATATATGTCATCTTCATTTCATTGTGTAGGTACTACTTTATGATGGCTTGTATATTTGATTCTCAAGTTAGGTTTGTAGTATGTTTCATATGCAGTTTCAATAGTTGGTTTCATCTTGTAACTGAAGGCTGTGTCATTGAGTTGAGATGCTCTTGAGTCTTGACATTATTTTATGATGTTCCAATTCTACTTTAAAGTCTTTTCTTTCTGTCATCTGAAATCTTAATTTCACAAAACTTTTACAAATCTTTCTAGTTTCTTCATCGACTTGTAATGGAAGTTCCACTGTTCATGTGGATCAAAGGCAAGTTTATATTGATCCATCACGTACGACGTGGTAACTTTAGAAGTTTTTTATATTCTTATTTTAGTTTCTTTTTTGGTTAGAGAATCTTTACTGATAAACGAAGCTATTGCATATGCTTCCAGATTATTCAGAGGGTGATGAGAGGAAGTATGTGCTTTGAGGAGGGAAGCATCAAGTCTAAGCCAGTGGTTCGAGTAATTAGAAAAAAGGTTTTCTAATTGAGTCCTGATTGGTTCTAAGTAGGTTAGCGAAAGTTTAGGATTCTTATCTAAGACAAATTCTTGTAGCCCATTGGTCATTATGCTTGCAGTCCTACGCCAGCATCTTAAAACTTGAAAACTTCTAAAGTGAAATAAAAATGAAGACATAATTTGATTAGCAACTGAAATAGACTGTAGACTTCAGGACAGTCTCCTCTTAATAGGTCTGTTGTAATATTCTCAAAATATTGATAACGCCCTGGAGTATTAGGTTACTGGGAACATATAGATTTAAGGTAAAGTTCCTAAAGCAATCAAATATCAAACAGGTAGAGATTAGTCATGAAATAAGCTGCATTCAAATCTGGCTAATAGGCAATAAATACTATATAAATCCAATACAATCAATATTCAATAGACAAATATCAATCTACTGTGGCTAGATTTGAAAAGAAATAATGGTATAGAAACAGTAAGTGTCAGCAAGATGGAATCTGGACCCACAAGGAAGCAATAACTGACTAAATACCACCCTAATTTCAAGAACCACACTACTGAAAGACCATCTTTGATCTAAAGCTGGCAAACAAGATTAAATTGAAACCAATAAGTACCTTTACTATGGACAACTGCCAATCTAGGTGATCAAAAAGCTCTGTTCCTACGTCAATCAATTGTCTTTGGTGATTTAGTGACTGTTGTGGTTCCAATATTTGCTTCTGAGTCATGAGCTTCAACAAGTATGATCTGGTAAGTCATATAGAAGCAAATTACCTCAAACAAGAAGTCTTGTACAGTCTAGTAAAGGAAGATCGGATGTCCCAACTTTTTTCGAAACCATTATGGCTGGCAACTCTTGCTCAATAGCCAAATTTCACCATGTATGGACTATGCAAAAGTATTGGTAATCTGTATGGGGCTGAGAGTTTCCATGCAATGCCCAAAGTACACCATTCATATGGACCAAGGTTTGATATGCAACCCAAAACAGTATGAAGTGGTGGTATGTAGTATGTACTAGTCCACTAGCTGATCAGAGCCAGCCCATTTCGAATGGTATGCACTATGCAGAAAACTGGCCTGTATGGGTCGGTATGACTGGTTTATTGGCTGATACGATCGAAACCCAATCATTATCGATTGTTTCAAATTGGTAACAATCAGATTTTGACTGATACTGACCCATAACAGATTAAATCTTGCCCTAACAGTTAAATTGACTGTGGGGCCTTTTTTGGGCTTCAAATCTTCTCCCCCTCTTTAATTCACTCTCATCCACTCTCTTATTCTCACTCTTTCTCACACTCTCACTTGTGAGTTAAAGTTCCTAATCGGTGATTAGTGGGTAATGAAGCACTAGATTAGTGATTAAAGTTCCTAATCGAAAAGATAAATTCAAGCTTTCTTCCTTATAACCTAGAATTTCTATTCATCTATGGCTTAGATACACTTTATTCCTATCTAAATATAATTTATATACCAATAGATTAAGAGAAAAACCCTAAAATAGTTTTTTAAAATTTTCGGCCATTTCCAAGCCATTTTTCAAAAAGTTGTTATGTGTCAGGATACCTGGTCACACCCTTTTGCATGTGACCGAGTTTTTTTCTATGATATTGATCCCTTTCGTACTGTATTGGGTTAAATGTTTTCCCCATAATGTGCGTCATAAAAATAATATCTTTTATTCCATCAAAACTGAGGAAGAAAATGGGCATGCCCCATGCTTAGTCTTAATTCATGGATACTTTTAGCTATTGCCTTGAATTTATATGCATATGACATTTTTATTTTGAACATCATCATGAGGTCTCTTTCCCCATAAAGCTTGCTATAACTTTACATGATATTAATTGTTTCAAATTATGCTAAATAAATGACTTATAGTGGTAATATAACACTAAGCCTATGGTAATTGCATGTTTTCGTTTATTATCAGGTCAAATTTAAGAGCATTCTCATTTTATTCATTTTACTGTGATATATTTTTCTTCAATAGAAAATATAACTATGATAATCTTGGTTGATTGAATTGGTTGTTACCTTCAGTGGGATCAAAAGTTGTTTCTGATTTTGTCTTATTATTTCTTTACGCAAGCTGGTGATAATTTTGTTCCATTCAGTTTTCACCCTTCTTTTCTTAAAACACTGATGAATCTAGGGTATTAAGAGGTTTTATTTCATTAATTAATGACTTTGATTCTTTTTGTTACAATTTTATTGTTCAGCGTCTTGAAATGTATGGAATCCCGATTCCAAATTATGCTCTCGTAAATAGAGAATATCCATATCAAGAGCTAGACTATTTTGTTGAGCATGAAGATTTTGTTGAGATTTTTGGAAAGCGCTTCCAGAAGCCATTTGTTGAGAAACCTATTGATGGTAAGCCAGCCTTCTATTTAGCTTCTACAAAAGTTGTCTTGGTACAATTTCATTTTTTCGTAACTTTTAAAACTTTGAGAGTTCTTGTTTTATTTACTGCAATCTCATGTAACATAAGAACTTAGTTCAGACAATCTATTATAATAATATGCACATATTGAATGCTTGGGGATAGAGAGACTAAAGCAACATATATGAGAAATATTACCTGAATATCCTTCCTCGAACCAATTTTCTCTTGGAAGATGCAAAGTGTTCTAATTTAGTATGTGTTGAACTTTTCATCCATAATCCCATTTGTTTACTTTTAAATGTCTTTTGATACTAAATAAAACTAGATTCCTTGCTGTAATCAAACCAGTCAAGTCACTAGGTGCTCGAGCGCTCGCGTAGAAGCCTAGGCAAGGCCTGAGCGCTCGGTAGTAGGCCAGGTGGTGACTTCAATCGAGCACGACCTAGGTGCTCGCTTGGGTCCAGGCATTGGGTAGGCCAAGCGCTCGCTTGATTCAAATCAAACTGGTTTGAGTTAAATATGAGCCATCCATTTTGATTGAACCAAATAAAACAATGTCCACCCCCACTTCCTGTCGCTATGGTGTTTTCCTCGGTGAATAACAGTTGTCTTCCTTTCTATCAACAAATGACAACAACAACAACAGGTCTTCCTCCGACAAGCACTTCCCTTGTATCTCTCTCTTTCTCCTCCTCTTTTGCTATTGCACACTCCCTACTCCTCCCTCCTCCCTATTCCCCCATTCCTTGACACCATTCGCTCCCTTTCTTCCCCTCTTGGACCACAACCCCCTCTCTTCCCCTCCTGGATGATATCCCCCTTCCCTTCCCCTCTTGGACCATAGCTCCTCCCTCCTTCGTCCCAACCCCTGCCCCTCCTTGTCGAAACTCTCCCTTTCCCCAATAGCATGCTCCTCCCTACTTTCAAACCAAAGTTCCCTCTCCTCCCTCCTCCCTCCTCCCTACTATATTTGTGATTTCTGGAATCTTAAATTGTTTTAATGTTAGTTTTGAATTGTTAATTTTTGCTAATGTTAATTTTATGTTAGATTTGGACAATTTAGCACATTAATGTTTTGTAGATGCTGAACTCATAAATAAATATTATTTAATATTTAGTGGTGATAATTTGAATATGAAATTATATGGAACTAATATTTTGTCTAATTTTTATTTTAATGATTGACTTTCTTCTTAATTATATCTTTTCATCATTTTTATATTGATAAGCGTCCTGCTTTGTTCGGACGAGTGCCTAGCGCCTCAGGCATTTGAAACATTGGTTACAAGTTACTACATTGTATTGAACTGCACTAGGATTATTGGAGGCTTATTTGTTTGTGCTTCTATTCTCTTCTCCATATATCGCCTTTGAGATAACTATTTATACATCATAATATGCTTATTGTGGCATCATTTGTATGAAGGTTTAGTTTCGATACTTGATCAGGACTGATCCTTAGTCGGGTCGTTATGTGTTTGGTAATGGTACATCAATGTACTGAGTCTATGGACATTATACATCAACACATTTATCGAAATGGCTTTAGCTGGTCCTTGGCTAGACCATATATATATATATATATATATATATATATATATATATATATATATATATATATATATATATATAGTGATTTAAAAAGCGTTAGGTGCTAAGGTCCCAAAATGCTTGAGGCGTTAGGCGCTCGCCCGAGCAAAGCTAGGTGCTCTAAAATATTAAAATATAAAAAATATATAATATAACTGATAAATATGATTATTTAAATAAAAATATGAATTGCTTTGTACATTTGTCATTTATCTTGGAACCCTAATTATAATTTTAAATAAACAAAGATTAGTAGTGTTAAAATCTATATTATCAATCTAGGAAATAAAGATTACTTTGTATAGTGGTTAACAATCTACTGTTAACAATATATTACTTACTATTAAGTATTAACAGTGGTTAGAGGGGGAGAAAAAAAACTATTTATTAACGGTAAGGGGATAAAATTGTCACTAAGTGTGGAAAGTAGGAAGGAGAGGCAGCGGTGAGAAGCTGGCAACAACAGTAGAGGATTAGTTTAAGACAACTGCAATAGCACTGGGAACAGCAACAGCGGTAGCGAGAGAAGCTGCAGACAGTAGCAGTGGCAGCGGTGGAAGTTGTAGATAACAGCGACGATAGCAGCGGAAGTTCCAGAGGGAGTCCGTCGGTGATAGAGGAACCTACGATCCTCTCCCTTGATAGGTTGAGGAACTGTACAAGGAGCGATGACGGAAGGAAGCTACAGGCTCTTGTGAGGTCGTCGGACCCGTCCATCGACGATAGATGAAGGCTTGGTCCGTTGTGTCTGCGGTGGAGTCAATGGCAGAAAGCGTCGTCGCTGGAGGCAGAAGCAACGCTAGGGTTGGCTCAGGGTCATGCGGGTGTGAAGTGAACCAACTAACCACTGTTGAACTAGACTTAAAAAAGTCTGGTTTGATTGCCTTATTTGAACCGGGCGCTCGTCCGGAGCACTCGACGCCTGGGTTCGAGTGAGTGCCCAGGCGGCGCCTCATTGAAGCACGTCGCTTGGTCCACACATGAGGTGCTCGGGCCTCGCCTCGCCTCACCTCGCCCAAGCGCCTATTTAAATCACTGTATATATACATATATATATATATATACATACATATATATATACATATATATATACATACATATATATATATATATACATACATATAGTTGTGCCACTAGAATGGTGCAAGTTTCCTTACACTAGTGGCATCACATTGAAATTTGAATTCATATGACAAGGTGTATTCTATAAATGGAAGAAATCCAGACATGAAAACAAGAACTATGAATTTAAAATTGTGACCAAGTAATACTATCTGCATTTAATGAGATAAAGAGTGCAATTTTATATTAATTACATGGAAGAGAAATGTTTTCATTTTAATTGTGCTCTGTTGATAGATTATTTCTTATTCCATCTGACCACTTACTTGTATGTGAACTCCATATTGGTGATAAATTGTCAAGTTATTGGACATCCATACATTGTTCCATGTTTTATTACTCCTTGTTGTCGGACTGACTTCAAATTTTATCTTCTAAAAGGGGATAATCACAGTATAATGATATACTATCCTAGCTCCGCTGGTGGCGGAATGAAAGAGTTATTTCGAAAGGTATGTTCATAAACTAAATTCAGTTTTTTACCATCTTTTTTTTATGCTTCTGTTCATTTTTCCTAAAATTGGTTCCTTGTCCAAGCAGTTGTGCCACCAACATGCCATCTTGTATCTCAATTACATTGTGGTTATTGAATGAATACATCATAAAGGTCAAATATTGAAAAGTGGATGGCTAGCTAAATAGAAAGGATGAGCTTTAAGTTTTAACTGCACAAAAACAGAGTTATGATTTTATGAACTTGTTAGTTCTAAATACTTAATCAAGTTTGATAGAAAGCAAGCAGGTTTTGATTTACTTGTTTATGAGATTCCTTAGTATCTAGCAGACTACTTAATAACATCTTAATGAGACATTTTTCAAAAAATGACTAAGTCTTAATTGTATGTTTGCATGCATTTGCATTTGTTAAAATTTGACAGTAGATGAATATTGCCACAATATAAGGAATGTGGATAACATTTAGATTTTTCAAATGTCTTAAACAATTCAAGATGGTTTACCAGATGTTAGTTGATTAAGATTTCAAAAGTTTGGATCTCAATTAGTTGCTTTTATTTCAAAGGTTTGGATTAAGATTTCAAAGGTTTTGTAGCAATTAGTTGCTACTAGGCGGCAAGGTATGCAATATCGTATCGTATCGGAGTTTCGACGTTCGCTCGGTACGGCACGATATTGTATACCGAGCGGTATATATATATATATATATATATATATATATATATATATATATATATATATATATATATATATATATATACCGAGTGGTCCGTGTACTGGTTAGCTGATGGACCGGTACATATCGCCCGTACCAGGCGGTATTATTCGAAATTGCATACCTTGCTAGGCGGTACTGTTGACTGGGTTGTTTCTGCCCCGTTACCACCTGAAATTAGTCGGTGACGGTCGATTTCAATCGTCGTTGCCCGTTACCAGGTGGTATTAGCTGAGGGAGAAGAAAAAAGAGTGAGAAGAAAAGGGAGCACTTGGAGATTCAGCACCACTCTCCCTTGACAATCTAGATCCATCCCACCCTCCCTCGCTGGATGCCGTAGATGAGATGTCGCCTCCTCGTCTGAGGCGACGAGGCCTCGGCGTTATCGGCGACTTCTCCTCATCCGCAGGGAGAAGAAACCAAGCATCATCGAGGTGACGTTTCTTCTTCCCATGTGAGTAGAAGAAACGAGGCGACGCCACCTCGTTGCCCTTTTTTGCATGGGGAGAAGGAAACCTTAGTTTCTGCTCCCCATGCGGGCAGAAAAATGAGGCGACGTCACCTTTTTTTTTACTTATATACATGGTATGCAATTTCAAATGGTACCGCGTACGGGCGGTACGTACCCGTCCGACGGCATACCGGTACGTGGACTGCCCGCTACCGGATGGACCGTGTTACAGTGCTACAGTAATACAGTGTTACACTGTAGCAGTGTTACAGTGATACAGTAAGAGAAAATCGCTCGGTAAGCCCTGGTGTACCGTTCTGTCACGGACAAACTTCTCAACAAGATGTTGGATGTAATGCTTATGTGTGTCCGTGTCTTTTGGCATGTTCATGCCCTGTATAGAATGTAAAGGGGCGGCCGAAGGCTTATAA